TCATTCCTTGGTTTGGCAGCAATGGGGTGCATTTACAGCGGCAATACTGAACAGTCTTTGCATATTCAATATCTGTTATTCACAAGGACCTTCCAGGCTAACAGGGGAGAAGAAAATCTTTCTACAGTCACCAAGTGTAAGCAAATTAACTCATGAGACAAAGCTAATATTAACTCTTATTTTGAAATGTACAGTTCGGCAGTCACCTTTAACTGTCATTGTGGTAGGGTTTCCTGTTTATTAGCAGATGAGCAAAGTCTGTACTACAGCAGCCTTAATTCTCACAGCAAGTCCACGAGGTAACAAAACAATGACCTCGAGGCCTCAGAACTCAATGCTAATTCCCACAGCTGTATCCACGCATCAAAACGCAACGTCTGTTGAGCAGAGCGCGTATCGCATGAACCTTTTCACACTGTGAAAAAACCTTTTGCAGGACCAACAACCCACATCACAACAGTCCATTCCTTTGCCCGGGACAAGCAACCAGCACCAAAGCAGCATGATGTAATCCAGGTGACGTGCACTTTGTACTTCTTAAATCTAGCACCCTCTGCTTTCCCTCCTCATCCCTCCCCTCTGAATTACCTTGTAGCAGGTGACTTGCTCCAATGGCCGGGGTCCTCTGTTCCCAGTGTTGTTATTTTGAGACTGCATGACTCCAATTACTTGGGGTGTCCTCTGTTGGTTAGGAGAAGAGTTCTGATTTGTTAAGTGCATCGAGGACAAAGACCTTTATGGTTGTTATTTTGTTAAGCACGGAAGAGAGGACCCCACATATCAAATGATCAACTTTCCTCCAAATCTGTGTGTGGGTGCTCTGCCAGCTGGAGCACCAGACAGAAGAAATCAAGTACTGAGGCTTACAAAGTCCAGCGAACCTGATTTTCTCTGGGAAGCACATTTACAGAGTAGGTTTAGGCTGCTAAAATATCATTGCCATCACTGAGAGATGCCACGCAGATTACAAAAACTAGCAGATTGCTGCACAACCACACATGATGTGCTTCTGTGTAATGTGGGAGTGTTCCATGACTAGATCTCCATGTAAAGCTGGAGCAATTGTAGGGCTTTCATCACTATAATGGCACTCAGGGTTGCTCACTGCTTAATTCTTGCATAGCACCCTCCCTTCCAGGTAGTGCCTCAAGCAACAGAACTGCCACTTCTCACCTCCAAGCTGGAGGACAGTACTAATGACTGAGATGATTAATGAAGGCGAGGGGAGAAACATAACAAAGCAAAACAACACAGTCCCAGGAAGAAGGCAGCAGCAGCCCATTGTGATCAGATGGTGGACATTAGAGGGCTGGGAGGAGGGAAGAGAAGGGACAGTGCTTTGTGGTTTATTAGGATTTGTCTCCAAGTTCTTAATTATGAAAGAGTATCACACCCTCTTGTAAAATATGAAAGGTTTTTCCTCATTCAGTGAATATTTCTCCAAGACTTTCCAGCAAGCCACATCTAAGAGCCCAGGTGTCCAGTTTTGACCGCTAGACAATATACCCTCTTTTAAAGCACTGTGGGAAACGCTTTGAGGGTGGGCGCATAGGGGAGGCAGGGGAATTGTGTACCTTTTGCTGTGTTTGTGTCGGTTGAGGCAGTGGTGGTTGCTCTGTGGTTCCCATTGGCAGTTCAAACCGAGGGCTGGTTTAGATGGAAACAAGAAAATTGATTCTGAAATCGTATGCCAACATTTTACCATCAGCTCAGTCAAGTAATGCCAAACAACAAAACAAACATTCAGCCAATTAAATTTGGCTCATGGGACATAGATCTCCCCCTCCCCACTTCTCTTTGCATTCTAACACTCAGCAATTACATACATAAAAATGACAATCCAGTATGTAGTACAGCCCTCTACCTGCGAAGACTTCTGGAATACAAACCCCTGTGATCCCACTGCACTGACGGCATCTGATCACCATTCCAGAGTCTTACTGGTAACTCCCTGAAGAGGCCCTGCCCCATATCCTCAAATCAGTAAACCAAACTAAACGTTTGCCAAATCTCCAAAGCCATTGGGAAGCACTGGAGCACCCTCATTTGACATATACTGGATCGCAAGGGAAACACAAGATTACAGGACAAGCCCGGAAGCATACTCACTGCATGAATTTACAGGTAGGCCCTTCTGGACAGAATCCGACTAGGTAATTCACACAAATGACTCTTCGAGTGTGCCGGTGTCTGCAGAGGGGACCTACAACACAAAGCTCAGTAGTTCACGTTCCACGTATACGTACCCCAGCACTCAGTAGTAGCAGGTACATAAGCAGATCAGGCAAAGAAAGAATAGCAACACCCTACCCTTGATTTATAGCCACAGAAGCAGCAACTGTGCAACATACATACCATGTTTACAGAAGCCTCTGTCATACCAGGGACAATCTTTGATCTTAGACTCCGGGTCAATGTGCAAGAATGGACATTCTTTGTTACTGCATTCCCCTGTACCAAAGGCAAACACACTTCTTAGTCAATTGTGCATGTTCCAGATCAAATGACTCTCAAAACATTACCTGGATCATGTAGCTCCCACAAAGCTGCTACCAACATTTATAAGTTCAGGCACAACAGTCTTACTGCCTGCCTTAACCTAGATGAAGAACACCAAGGACTCATCCCCAGTGAGCAAAGTTCTACCAGACTCCATTATTTATGTGTGCTTTTAAAAACAATGCAGAAACTAAATTTGAAAGAGCAGTCATGATAACATAAACCAAACATTTAGTGCACCAGAAGTGTGGAGAAACTACAAATTGCGCACTAACCTCAATCCAAGGAAACCTACAAGACTGTAAGTTTCTGACAGCAAGTTGCCTCATTATGTCCAGATCTCCAGAGCTGGAAAGCAAGTGCATAAAAGTTTTGCACCCCCATGCCCTCTGCTGCTCATCAGCTCCCCAAAATAAGAGTCATGCAAAGACCAACTGCTCAGCCTACTCATCTCATACCCAAAACAGAATGTAAGGCATAAAACCCAGTAAAAACTTGAACTTCCCCCCTCTTCCCCCAAGGGACAAGCTCTTGAGAGAGAAGACATCTACAATACGTCACAAATTTAGGGGGATAATAAGGTGAAGGACTAAGTAGATCTGAAAAAATGACAATCTAACAATATTATCAGACACAGAAGAACTGTAATGCTCTGAAGATGGATGAGAGGCATGTACCAAGATCCTCTTCACCAGACTCCCACACCAGCAAGGAACGCTAAGCAGGAGCTACAATGCCCCTTACCAAATTTGGAGTAGAAGTAACACTCAGGCATCTTGGTCATGTCATACTCGTGCAGAAACTCGCACTGGTCTCCCTTTTTGCACAGTCCTCGTAGCCAGTGTTTGCAAACAACTGTCTTTTCCCCACTGATGTGTCGGAACGGGCACATGCCTCCTGCAGAAGGATGGAGCAAGGAGAAGGGAAAAAAGAACAATTAAAATATGCGGCACAAGAAGGCACAGGGCAACAGCAACATTTTGTTCCCCTCTGCAAGAGGGGTTTCAGAAGACACCATTTCTTCTCATTAATTTAGCCTTTGGTGGCAATAGCAAAACAGGGAGTTCCAGACAAATCTTACGTTAACCTCTAACAAGTCTCCAGCTCTTAATCCTGGCAACCACAAACCACAGCAACTAATACAGGCACATCCACAGCAAGGTCTGCATGTGGTAAGTTCAAGCCTTCCTTTAGCAGGAGCTTTGCTTATTCACCTCCCAGCTTCTTAAAAAAAATACCATTATTTCACAAACGCTGCAGTTATTCCAACATTCTTCAGTTTTATTCTCTATCTAGGTTATCCTCTCATATTTACAAAAAAGAAGAGCACTGTAGACAGTGTGAGAAAACGTAGTTTCCCCCCTCCAGCCCTGTGAGTATAATTGTATTTGAAATATTACTTGCCTTTTCCACAAGCCGCTTTTAAAAAAAATTCACACACAGCTGCACCTGATTCTGTGGAGAGAACAAAGAAACATAATTAATTTTAATAAAGTTTCATGGCAACTTTTAAAATATTTCCTTCCCCAGAAAGACAATCTGGTCCTCAACATCAAAAGAAAAGCAGCATTTTGGTTTGGGGAATTTACTTTCCCGCATAAGTTCCTCGTTCCAGGCCTGGCCCTCACAAATATCTGTATTCTTCTTGAGGGAACCAACTGGAATTTGCAGAGATTTGGTGGTTCTTCTTTTGCTTTTCAGGTATTTAGGTTTTGTTGACTGGGTTTTCCTCTGTTGTTAAATCAATCATGTCAGTGAACCCTGTATTTACCATACTGGCAACAACAGTCTTACATTTTTTGACCACATCAGCCTGAAACAACCATTAGCATGTCATCCCTTGCTGATCCTGACCAACAGGCACCACAACATTTGAAGGAATTAAAACACAAGTTTAGTAGCCTGGCCAGAAAATTTCAGCTAACTATGAGTCTCCTGAGACTACCTGTGTCAGATTATTAGAGACTAGGCCATGGATATACCTAAAGATGAAGTCTTCCTGCCATCAAAATGCCTCATCTATCAAAAGAGGGGGAAAAAAAAAAAGGTACTGTGCAGGAAAGTGATGTTTAGTCACGATAATGCCTCAAGTTTCATTTTCCAGCCTGGCTGCGTACTAACTACAGCTTTCATTAACTAGGAAAGAAACGCATCTCGATTAAGACAGTAACTTCACAGGAAAAGCAGCAGTTCGGAGGATCTACGGATAAGACCTAAGCAAGGCGCCCAAATCCCCGGAAGCCTCCCTCCCTCTCTCCCTCCCCCAGCCGCCCCCGGGGTCCTCCCGGGCAGGAGCCCTGGCACAGCCCCAGCCCCGCGGACGGCTGCGGGGAGCGGGGCTAAGAGCCGGCCCCAA